ACTTTGTGTTCCCTATCATCAGCTTCCTACTCCCCTTCTGCCTTCTGGGCCTTATCACTGGACTCCTGTACCTCGTTACTCTCATGGTTTTACTGGGCTGTCCACTCCCAGGCTGAACAGTTAAATTCTGACTGGACCATGGACTCTTTGAGGGCAGGAACCAGAACCTTGTCTGACTTATTTTTATTGTTGAGCCAGTGCTTGCCATTCTCTAAATATTTGCCAAACTGACTCTAAACATAATTAATGGAGGTAGCTTGGGACATAAGCCTGGTTTGTAAACATATAGTCTACAATAAATTCTAAATAGTGTTAGTTTAGTTTTATTATCTTTAACCATGATTGGAATATCTTAATGCTCTTCTGATGGTCCTCCTTAGGATCTGCTGTTGAAAGGAAAGTGAGATCATTGTTTTTGTCAAGTATATGTTATTAAATGCTTAGCAAGTTTTCACGTCTGTTAGTTAAATCTTGTCAACCGTATTCATTTTCTTTTTGTGTTTTACCTTTAGAGTATTTCAGATGTCTAGCTCAACCTTAGGTAAAAAATCTGAATTAATGAGATTTTATAGAGTCTGAATTAATTTGATTTTACTGACTGCATAAAAACAAAAGCAAAGCTCTCATTTTGTAAACTTTTCTGGTAACACAGGCAGGGTAGGAACAATTATGCCCATTTGCTGATGAGGACACTGGCTTAGTGAGTGGCAGAGCTAAGCCTCAGACTAGGTTCTCCGGCTGCAGATTGCTCCTTTCACTGTATTATCCTGGAAACCCACAGGCTTTCACTAGGATCTGTCCAGTCTAGAGATCTTTTCTTTAATAAAGTTTTCTCCCCAGCTGTGTTGATGTGACTTGAAATTCTGAAATCCCTGTTATTCATTCCCGTACATTTATTGAACATCTATCTACTCTGTGTCTGGCACTGTACTATTGCCTCTAGAAGGTGTCTCACTAGAGTGGGTAGTAGCCAGGTCAGTGGATAATTAATCCTCTTTGTGAACAGTGTTATCTCCAACAGAGGTGGGCACCAACTTGGGAAAACCTGAACTTTTTTCTCATTGCTGATCCTTGATTTTTTTCCCCCCTATTTAAGAGTTTTTGGGCAATACTTCCTTACCCAAAAGGAAAAAAAAATTACTGATTCTAAAACAGTTGTGTAACATTTCCAGTTC